GGCGGAGAGGAAACGTGGAGACTTGAGTACACCTGGAGGCAAATAGCAGACATTGCACGGAGGGCGGTGGAGGATTTGTGCGTTTGACAGAGATAATGCATTTTATGTGTGGTTGTACGCCTTCGTACACGTTATATGTGTTTAAATGCATACACAGAATCATAGAATAGGTAGGGGTGGGAAGGACTTCAAGATCACCCAGTTCCAGCCCCCCTGCCATGGGCAGGGCCACCTCACACTAAACCAGGTCACCCGTATGTATGGGTAGATAAAATACATGTTCATACTGACATGCGTGTATGGGAGCCACTGATGTAGTTGGAAGAGAAATCCTCCCGTTTACCCTGGAGAAACATTAAAGGCCCTCAGGGCCAGGGCATTGTCCTTAGCCCATGTTCTGTCCCATGGCAGGTACTGGGATTGAACAACCCCTTGCCACTGGTTGTTTACAAGCCCTTTTCATAGTACAACCACATATATATATATATATATAATGTATACATATATATATACGTAAACGTAGAAATGGGTGTGATATTTTCCCTCTGTCTGCCACAGCTTTTCAAACATGATGGAGAGTGGCCTGATGAGGATATGAGCCAATGCAGCTTTGTGTCCTGCACCTCAGGTGTGGGAGCAGGGCCTGGGTGTCTGCACCCTGAGCCGTGCTCCAGGACTCCAGAGGCTGTCTGGAGGATTAGGTTGGTTGAAGTGGTCCATATTTTCTTATGAACATCCCAGAACGTGAGGTGTAACTACACAGCTCATCCCCTCACCGGGGTACCAGTTATGGCTATAGGGAAAAGGGGATGTTGCTCCTTTGAAGACAAGTTGCTTTCTTGGTTGTTCCCTTCACCAGCCATAAAGATCCTGCGCATGTGCACTGGGTGCTGGTGGTGGTGTTCCCCTTTCCCCATGGAATGTGGGAGGGTGGTGGGGCCTGGTGTACCTGAGGCACAGCCGCTCGTTAGGGAGCTCATTCAGCTCTTGGCCCCTGCCAGTCCTTCAGTCTTTTGATGGCTTGGAGCTCTCTGAGCTTTTTGGTTTTGGTTTTCCCATTTACATTTCCTCTGCAGCGAGAGCTCCTGGATGGGTTGGGGGTCAGCAGCGCACCCATCATCAGGTATCCTTACGTGAAAGTGGTTTATTTCAGGTTAGCAAGTCTGCATTGGGTGTTTAGGGAGGGCACAGGGGCTGATGAGCGCACTTTGGGAGCTGGGCTCTGGGGCACCTGAGGGGGCAGTACCCAGATGGAGTTTCAGATGGCAAAGCAAGGGTGGATTGCCATGGTGGTGGCACTGTTCTGGAGCTCACCATCTGCAGGTGATGCCCAGCACCAGTTTCCTGTCCTGGCCCCTTAGGCTTAGGAACAGGGGGTGGACATTTGCACTTTGACAGCTAGTTTCTGAGGCAGCCGAGGTGGCGTAGGCAGAGAGAAGTGTGGCACAAGGAGCTAGGCAAGGGGATATTGGGAACGAGAGGGATGGGAAGCAGGACAGAACTGTAATGAGAGAGGAAGATGGAGAGATTGAGGGGAGAAAAGTGGAGCGATGGAGGGTTAGCATAAGGGATAGGCCAAAGCCCCCTGGGGATCTGCAGCCTTGGTCTATCCTCTGCCCTCAGCAGCCCCTTTTCCAACATGCAGGCAAGGCAAAACGTCCTTGAGAAGAGTCACTCCTGTCAGTGCAGGTCCCAGCCAAGGGACGGGGGTGGAGCGGGAGCCACTTTTCCTGTGGCAGCTCCATGCTGGGGGCTGAGCCTCCAGAAACATCACCGCTGTCCCGCACACCCCCCTGCACGGGCAGAGCACCCGCTCTGCTCCCACAGCACTGCCAGACAAGGCGGGGGGGGGGGGGGTTCAAGGCTCAGCCCCCTCCTGGGGGAGGCCACGCTCGGCCCCAAGCCCCCTGTCATGGTCCTGGGCCTGCCGCCCGGCCCAGCACTCCCGCAGCTCCTGGTACAGCTCCTGGTGCTCCTCCTTCCAGCGGGAGAAGCGCTCCGAGGTGAGCGCAGCATCGCTGAGCAGCTGCTCCAGCGCCTGCAGCTCCGCCAGCTTCGCCTGCTGGCAAAGAGGGGTTGTCCTGGGGCGCTCACCCACGGGCAGGGTGCTCTGCGGGGTGAGGGGGCCGTGGGCACCCACCTTGAGCGTGCTTTGCAGGGCCCGCACCGCGTGCACCTTGGCGTTGATGAGGGGGTTCTTGCTGCGGCGGACGAAGGACTTGCGGTACTGCTCCTGCGTGAGGGCCTGCTGCCGCCCCGTGAGGGACACCCCCCCCTGCTTCAGGCACCGCATCAGGCACTCGAGGTCCTCCCCACTGGGTTCTGGGTGAGGAAAGGGGCAGTGTTTCAGCCCCAAATCCCAAGGTGCTGCCTCTGCCCCGAGAGAATCCCAAGATGCTACACGGTTTACACCCAGATACATCCCAATTCATGCACCCCCCAGCACACATGCACACCAAAAGGGAGGCCCTAACTTAAAAGGGTGCACACAAGGTGACAGATGTCACGCCCCAGTACTCACCCGTGGATGTGCAGGGCTGGGGGCTGCCGGGCTCACTGCAAGCTGGGAGGAGCTGGGGTTTCTCTGGGGTATTTTGCAACCTTTTCCTTGGCTGAGGGACAGATGGGGTGAGACAAGGATCCTCCATCCCCTCCCCAGGGTGTCCCGAAGGGCAACTCACCAGGTCACAGCCAGGCCTGGGGCATTCATCATCGGGGTCCTCGGCTTCTGTCTCACTGTAGCAGTCTGGAGGTGGAAGGGGAGGACAGTGACAGCAGAGGGAATGGGAAGCCCCTGCTGCCCCCCCCCCCAAGCCCTCAGCATCACCCCAGACCTCCTCTCAGGGAGCATTTCCCACATCTCCCCCAGATGATGGGAATGATGGACCGGGCATAGGTGTCCCCGCAGGGCTCCCATCTCCCCCAGGGGAACTGACCCCATCTCCCACACCAAGAAGGGCCGGTTACCTTCCTCCCTGTCTGGGACCAACTGGTGGGCCAGCGTGTACTTTGTTTTGGCTGTTATTAAGTGACTGACCCACCTGGGGAAAGAAAGGACACACACAGAGCCAGGTCATGGCCAGCCCCGTGCCGTGGGACCGGCACTGGTGGGCGCTCCCTTGTGTGTTACTCACATGCTCAAATCAGCCAGCGTTTCTGCAGCGAAGATGAAGGGCTTGTACCTCTGATGGCAGAGCTGGAACACGCTGGAGCAGGGCAAGCAGGCAGCTGCTTTTGCTGCTGTGGTTATCCAGCAGCAGAGCCAGTCCCGAGCCCACATCCAGCCTCTCCTGTACCATAGCCCCACCATCCCAACCCAGCCCTGGAGTTCAGGCTTTTCCCTGCCATTGAGGCTGCTCTGGTGCTCATCCTTGTCCCAAGTAACACCGGTAGCACAACATACACATTGCTCAGAGCAGGGGCTCCCATGCTGCAGGAAGACCAGTCCTGCAGCCCTGTGGGGACACCACCAGCCCCAGGGGGACCCTATCATGGCCACAGGGACATGCAGGTGGCACCCAGGAGGACTCTTCAGCATGTGCCCTTGGGACAGCATCACCCACCCCGTTCCACCAGCAGCCAGGAGGTCCATGGTGAGACAGACCCCACTCACTATTTCTTCTTCTGCTCCCTTGTGCTCTCCAGGTCATAGGTGGCCACGTTGACGAGTCCTGCAGCCTTCTCATCCTGCACAGGAGGCAGCTGTGTCCAGCACCCGAGCGAGTGCTGGGGACAGGAACCCCAAGGACACCCCGGGGGTGCCACTCACGTTGGGGTGATGGTACCAGTAAAGCGTGTGGCCCTTCAGCACAAACCAGCACCGCTTCCACTTCTGGGCCATGAAGCCCACGTGATCCTTCTTCTTGAGGAGCCAGCCATCACAGTCCACCCGGCCCAGGTCCCGGCACGAGACGCGCCGGCGGCTCAGCCTGCTCGCCACTCCTGGCAGCCAGGGCATTGGGGGGGGTCAAGAGCAGGGAGAGGCAGCAGGAGGCAGAGGCTGGGGGAGCCCCCAGTCCCTGTGCACACCAGCCCCAGCAGGGTCCTGCTCACCTTTTGGTCTGCGTCCTCCCTGGGGGCTGCCCTGGATGGGGAAAGAGAGACAAGTGCTTAGGGACAGTGCAGGGGGGTGAGTGCAGAGCAACATTAGACAACCCCAACTCCCCCCCAGCAGTACCCATAGCCCCTTAGGCACCCCCAGCTTGCACTCCCCTCAGCAGAGAGCTCACCCCAGCACAGGCATTCTGCCGCCCAGCTCTAACATTCATGTCCTGTGTGCCCCACACTGATGCCCTCCCAGTGTCTGTCCCCCCCGCAACCAAGGCTCAGCACTCCCCTCCCACCAGTTCTCACCTCCGGAGGGTGCTGGCTGAGGTCTGCACCCCCAGCCCCCTCCGCAGGGGCTGCCATGGGGCTGAGCTCCGCAGCAAGGGTGCCTGGAGGGGAGCCACTCTCCTGTGCCACCTCCTCTGCAGCACCTGCACACAGCAATCAGGGCTGCAGCTTCCTGCCCCAGGGGAGAAACCGCTGCACCCCAGGTACCCCCTCTGCTCCCCTCCTACCATAGCTGGGCAGTGCTGGCAGCTCCCCCACAGCCACCCTGGGCAGCCTCGAGTTCTGCTTGTGCTCTCCTGCCTCTTCGTCCGTGACAGGGTCCAGTGCAGAGTCTGGCCCCGATTCAAAGTCAGCAGCAGCAGCGCTGGAGGAAAAAGGGATCCTTAAGCTCCAAACCCCCTTGAGCACTGTGGGTGTCCCACTGCTGGGCTCCAGCCAGCCCCACGCTTGCTCAGGCACCCACAATTCTCCCTGCCCAAGGAGGAGTGGGGCTGGAGGCAACGGCAGCAGAGCCTCAGCACCAGCTCCAGCAGCAGGGCCAGAGCCCGGCCTGGCGGCTCCTGCTACCGGCTCCACGCACGCCTTTCCATTCCGGGAGAGGAGAAAAGTCACGTCTAAATATAGCCCCAGCCCCATTAAAACGTTACCAAGTGAATGAGTTACAAACACAACCGCTTTTTTTTTCCATTCCTTAAGACCACTGGCAGCTTCCCAGCACGCTTGCAGCAGCGGCCACGCTGCCAGCACCACTCCAGCCAGGAAGAGGCTTCGGATGCAGCTCCATGGTGGCCGGGCTGGAGGAGTTGGGGTGCCAGGGGACTGGGCTCACCTGGAGCTCAGGGACACGGGGCTGCCTGGGCACTCACTGCTTCTGGTGCTGGTGGAATCTGCAGCATCCAGAAATGCTTCCAGGAGCTGCGGATGGAGTGTCAGGCCCAGGTGACATCCCGCCACGGAGCCCAGAGCTTGAGGGACCACCAACGTGATGGGAGATGCCCCAGCTCCAAGCATCCCTGTGGTGTTCCCAGCACAGCCCAGTGTGGCACTGGGGCTGTACTGGGAGCGCTGGGATCACTCACCTGCTGCCTGGGAGAGGATGGGGAGCCAGGCAGGTCGAGGGGGATCTTCTTCAGCACCAGTGTCACTCTGCTCACATCTTCCAGCAGCTTCTTTGCCAGGTTGACGCGTGTCCAACCCACCTGCGTGCACTGCCTGGTGAGCCACAGGGGACACCCACAGCCCCACACTGCCCCACGGCCTCCCAGCCGTAGGCACTCCCATGGCTCCCACATCCCCTAAACCTTCCCAGGCAGTGGCTTCTGGGACCCCCAGACCTTTCCCAGCCATGGCTCCTGCACTCTGCAGGACACAGCTCTTGTGTCACCCCCCTGCAAACCCTCCCAGCTGCAGGTCTCGTGTCCCCCTCAAAACCTTCTACCCACAGGCCCTGTGTCCCCCAAACCCTTCCAGCCCTGCCGCTCCCCATCCATGAGTGCTGAAACCAGCACCACTCCTGTGCCCATGTGTTCAACTCACCACAGTCTGCTCATTGACCTGTACGATCTCATCTCCCGGCAGGATGAGGCCCCTGTGGGCAGCCAGGGCCTAGGGCAGAGGCAGGGTGGGATTGGGGTAACCAGCACACAGGGGTTAACCATTACCCAGCACCTGAGCTGGCACAGCACTGGCTGGTAGGACTGGGGTGCGGGGGGGGCTCCCACCACAGACCAGGCTGTGCTCTCTTAGCTACATGGTCTTAGCTGCAGGCAGCCTCCCCCAGCTCAGCTCTGGGAGGGGTGGAACCCCCCCAGCAGGAGCTAGAAGTGGGTGACTGAGGGACAGCGTGGGGTGACAGGCAGGGAAGGGAGCCTCTCACTCACCTCCGAGGTAGCTGCAGACACAAAGTGCAGGCAGGAGGTGGTGGAGGTGATCTTGAGGCCCTGGGAGGGGACAGGAGGGAGGTGTGAGAGGGATGCCAGGCACTGGGGGGGGCACCGGGGCAATGGGGACTCACCAGTGGGGCAGTGAGGAGTTGGGGGCTGCTCCCCAGGGGCTCAGAGGGTGGCGTTAGGATGTCAGGGGACGTCGGGGGGCACCCCCACGGGCTGGAGGGCAGCATCAGGGTGTCAGGAGACATGGGGGGACTGCCCTGCAGCACCACACGCTGCAGCACAGCCCTGCGGTCCAGCAGCGCCGGGGGGCTGCAGCCCACGATGCTCTCGCAGATGCCCACGATGTGCTGGCACTGCGGGTGACAGCGGGGGCTGAGGAGGGGCTGTGGCAGCATTAGGCCCCCCCGTGCCTGCCAACCCCTCCTCACCCAGCACTTACAATCTGCAGGATCTGGCTGTCCCTCTTGGCTGCAGGACAGTCCTGGGGAGGCAAGACACGGGGCTGAGCAGGACGGGATGGCTAAGCCCCCTTCCATCCCAGCTGGGGAGGCCCCACAGGGAACCCCCCTCATGTACCACATCCCCCCTTGCCCCCACTCCAGCAGGCAGAGCTTTGGGGGACATGAGAGCAGGGGCTGGCTCTACCCCCCCACACCCCCCACACCCCCCAGCATCACACCCATCACCATGGCCTCGGGGCAGCACAACCACCCTGGGCACCCACCGCCTGCAGCGCCTCTGCCAGCTGGGTGCAGAGCAGGACGATGTCCTGGCTGGCCGAAAAGTCGTTGAGGGTGGAGAAGAGGTACCTGGGTATGGAAGGGTTGGGGGGCAGAGAGCTCAGCCCCAGCTGTGGGGGGCACCCAGCACCCGCAGCTGCCCTTACCCACCCCAGACCTGTTGAGCCAGGAGAAGAGCCCCTTGGCAGCCCTGACCAGGTCGACGACACGAGCCAGGAGGGCGAGGGAGGGCGGCCGGGGGCCAGCCCCCGCCGGCAGCCCCCCCAGCACCAAGCTCTGGGTGCCCTGTGCCAGCTCCTGCAGCCTCTCCGTCAGTGTCCGCAAGCTGGTGCTCGCCAGCCCCGCTTCCTGCGGGGACACGGATGAGGGCAGTGGGGGTCTATGGGGTGCTTCCATATCCCCGCCTGCATCAACACAGGGTGCCCCAAACACACACACACACACACCCCCTCCACCCAGCCCGGGGTGCACCCACATCCCTCCTCCCACCGCGGGAGCCCCGCAGCACCCATGGGTGCCAGCACTCACCAGGGCACGGAGCTGCTCCACGGCCTCCAGCAGGAGCTCCTGGTGCCCCAGGCGCCGCACTCCCAGCGCCTCCAGCGCCGCAGCCGAGAGCCGCAGCAGGTCGGGCCCCGCCAGCCCCCACGTCTCAAAGGGGTACCCTTGCACGGCGCCGTCCAGCCCTGCCCGAGGCCGCACTGAGTCGGGGCACCCCAGCACAGCGTCCCCGGGAGCCCCTGCCCGGGTCATGCCCGGCTGCTGGCAGAGCCCGCTCCATGCGAGGAGTGGAGCCGGTCTCAGCCCAGACGGCACGGACAGACCCCCCCCCTCGAACCCGGCTGGATCCAGGGGCCAACCCTCACCAGGGACAAGGGGAAGGAGCCCATGGGTACCCCCCCGCCCGCCCCGGCTCAGCCTCGGTGCTCACCTCGGAGCCAGGCCGCTGCCTGCGCCGGGCCCCAGGTGCCCACGGGCTCCATGGCGGCCAGGCCGGAACGGGCGGCGGGAGCGGCCGCTCACCTGCGCCAGCGCCGGGCGGCCCCATGGGCGCACACGCGCACCGCTCACCGGGACGGCCCAGAGCGGGGCTGCGGGGCGAGGCCCGGGCGCGCCTCCGGTGAGTCACGGCCCAGACACACGGGGACAAACGGGCCCCGCTCAGGGCAGCGCCCGCAGCTCCCCCTCCCCGGGCAGGGCATGCGGTGAGCGCCGAGGCCCGGCACTGACCGGAGCCAGCGGCCCTGTGGGTGCGAGGCTCGGCTTCACAGAGCCCTCGGGGGCAGGGTTCCCACCGCTTCCTTCGCAGCTGAGCAGGGGCAGCCCCACAGCACAGCCCAACCCTCCCGTCAGTGACCCCCCCCCCCAAGAGCGGCCCTGGCCCGGCTCGGCCTCCCCCGGCACCTCGGTGCCCGCCTGCCCCCGCCCCAGCGTGTGCGCTTGGGGGAGCAGCAGGCGCTGATCGCTGCTGACAGCGCTCGGCGCTCGCTGGGTGCGCGCTGCACGGCCCGGGGGTGTGGGGTGGGGGGGGCCGTGGGGCAGGCGGGGACGGACGCAGACCCCTCACAGCGGCCAGGGTGAGGGGTCTGAGGCTGGGCAGGGGGGAAGCGGCCCCGCTGCTGCCCCACGGGGCCTGATCCCGCTGCGCCATGATCATCCGCCCCAGACGCTTAACCCCGGGGTACTTCCGGCTGCTCCAGGTAAGGGGGGGACTCCGGGGGGGGTGAGGATGGGACCCACAGGGACCCCTGTGCTGCCCGCCAGGCCCGCGAGCCGTGCCCGGCCGTATCCTGCCTCCAGGTTAGCTGCGAGGGTGCTGCTGGACCCTGCGAGCGCTGCACCGGGCACTGTAACAGCACCCCTGGACCCCCCCACCCCCCCGGGGGACCACGAAGCTGTCCCCATCGTCCCTGCATCCCCCCAGCTGGGTGTGATGGGGATGCTCAGGGCACGGCCTCAGGCGCTTGCCCCTGGCGGTTGTGGGGCTGTGCCTCACGTTCCGCTCCCCTCTGCTCTCCTCTCTCCCCTGCAGATGCAGCTGGCAGCAGGGCGCAGGGCCGAGCCGGGGGGGCGGCTGCTGACCCCCCTGGCTCTGCTGCTGGCGGCTGCCGGGCTCTGCCTCTCCTTCTACAGCGCCCGCAGGATGGCCGACCCCAGCAAGGGCCCCCCGGAGCTGTGAGGAGGGGTCCGGCAGCGCTGTAGGGGGGGTCAGGGTTCCCCTCTGCCCACTGGCCCCCACCTCAGCTCTGCTGCCAGCTGCGGCGTCTTCCCAGCTCATCTGCGCCATGCCCAGCCCTTCCTCCCTGCCCCGGCAGCACAGGGCCCTGGGGCCAGGGCACACGCGCCTCTGTCCACGTCTGTCCCCGCTTTTGGGAGCCAGTTCATCAGCTGGGATGGAGAACGCAGAAGACACCTCCTGGCTCCGGAGCAGGCAGCTGAGCCTCGGGCCAAGGCACTGCAGGACACCGGGATCCAGCCCCAGGAGCAGGGACCGAACAAACAGACAAGAGGAAGTGACTGGGGGCTGCATCCTTTTTCCTTTCCCCTGCCAGTAAGAGGTGCCCAAGGAGCCACCCCGCTGGTGGCCACATGCAGCCCCCCACCATCCACATGCAGCCACGGCCAGCGGAACCCTGCAGGAACAGAAACCAGCACTGAGCACTATTAGTGACACAAAAGGAGGGTTGGGACCCACAACAATGGGGAGCGGGGCTGATGGGGCCATGGGGTCAGTGACTGCCTCCTGGCAGGCGCTTCCCACTGGGGTGGCATCTGAAACCTTCCAGCCCCACCCTGCATTCACCAAACCCTCCCAGAGCTGCAACACTGCATCTCCACAGAGCTGGGGGAACAAATCCGGGCGGGCTGCATGGAAATAAACCCTTTCCTGCTGAGCACAGCTGTGGGGTTGCTCTGCTTTTCTGCTGCTCCAGCCCAGCACTAGAGCTCGGCAGGAGACACAAACCTCTGGCACAAGCGGTTTGCTGCCAGGGCTGCATCAGTGATACCCACGCTGCAGTGAGTGGTGACATTGTCACTAAGTCCCAGGCAGCGTCACCAGCAGGATCACAGCATCGGGCTGGTGCACGCAAGGCAGGGAGCCTGATCACAGCACACATGCAGCCCCAGCCCAATCACTTGTAGACGTTGGGGTTTAAGGGACAGGAGCCTGGAAGTCTTCCTTCCAGGGGACACCAGGACTCCCCTCTAGGGACCCAGCACCAGAAGCTGCTTTGCCAACAAGGCAGGGACAAGGCTGTTCCTCTGGGATGGTGCTGTTTCCCTTTGCATGATCAGGAAGAACAACCAATGAGGCTGTGCCCCAAGCAGGGCAGGCACATTGACAGAGAGCTCTGAACACTGCCGGGCTGTTCACTGATGTGTTTTAATGGAGGAGTCTCTGGGGTAACCGCTGACCCACGGAGAGGGGCCTAAAACCGCTCCACAAGCAAAGAGAGGAGTGCACAGTCCTGCCAACACTGAGGGAACAAGCAGCCTGCCCCTGCCCTGGGAAGATGGGGGCACCTGGGGTCTCGCTGGCTCCTTCTCCTCATTAGAGCCGTGGGCAGCAGCGCTGCCAGGAGCAGTGTTTGCCTGCTGGGACGTGTTCTTCTCACACAGCTGAAGACAAAGGCACCCTCACAGAGCCACTCGGCCCCTCAGTCCGCGGCGCTGAGCTGGACGCCTCCATCTCGGTGACCTCCTCCAGCGGCTGGGTCTGCACCTCCACCTTCTTTGGGGGGATGTAGGACCCCATCCCAGCGGCACGCTCGGCCTCCTCCTGCGTGTACGGTGCCTCCCGCAGCTGCTTCAGCCTGCGGGGAGGGCGGAGGGGAGGGGTGAGGCTTTCAACCCCAGCTCCTCAAACCCAGAACCGGCGCTGCCTCACCCCGATGAAGCAGACGCAGGTCACAGGACCACGGGGTGGCTCAGGACCCCCCGCTCCGGCACCCCGTTACCTCTTCTTGTGCACCTTGGACCGGAAGTGCTCCTTCATGCTGGTCAGGTCCACAAAGTAGCGCCTGGAGGGGTACAAAACAGAGGGGGGGGTCAGGCTGGGGAGTGCCAGACCCATGGCTCTCGTGTGTTCCCCTATGGCCGGTTCCCATGGGGCAGGACCCCCGAGGGGTTAGAGACCCCCCGGCACGCACGCGCAGTGCAGGCAGTAGAACTGCGCGCATCCCGGCAGGTCGGGGTCGGGCTCCTGCCGCAGCAGCCGCGCCGCGTTCTCGGGCCGCAGGTCCCGGTGGATCTCGTCCAGGTCGCGCCGGCGCCGCTTCGTCTTCAGCTGCCGCGCCAGGGAGTGCGAGCGGTGCGCGCCCGTGCGGCGGCCATTGCGCGGAGACATGGCGCGAACGCACGCGGCGACAGGCCCCGCCCACCCACTGACGTGAGCCCGCGGGCCCCGCCCACCGACAACAGGCCACGCCCCCCCCCCCGGCTCCCTCCGCCGGTCACGGCTGTGATGAGCCGGGCAGGGCTCAGCACAGCGCGGCCCGGCCCCGATCGCGTTTCCTCCGCTCCGGGTGATCAGTTACAGATGGGAGCCCATGGCCGGAGGAGTGCGAGGCCCCAGCGCCCGCTCTGCTGCATCCTTGGCCCTGCGGGGCCGCTGTGGGCAGGGGACACTGGGGAGGCTGGGGCGGGGGGGGGGCACTGGGGGGGTGCGGAGCTGATGAGAGCGGCTGCTCCCGCGCTGCCCCAGCTCCGGCCGGGCTCAGGTTCCCCTTTGTGCTCGGAAGGAGCCCCTGAAACTTTAATGAAGCCACCGGATCGCCGGGGCGGCGCGGGGGTGCCCTGCTCCCCACAGCACCCGCCGGCTCCCAGCCCCGCAGAGCCCCTCACCATGGCCCAGGGCTTCTGGCAGCTCTACAAGGCCAAAGTGCTGCGGACCCTGGGGGAGGCTCGGGCAGACGGGGAGCTGCAGGAGGAGGTATGGAGCCTGGGTCCTCCCAAAGCGGGGTGACCGAGCTGCCTGCCCTCCCCTTGCCTGCACTCCTGCCCTCACTTTGGGGTTCGTTGCAGGGGGACCAGCCTGAGCTGGTGGAGATGGCTGAACCTCCCGTGCTGATGGAGGAGGGCCCCAGCCCCGTGTCCCAGCTAGCGAGGAAGGTGAGGAGGGGGCTTGGGGAAGCCGCGGGGGCCCTGCTGAGACCCAGGGCTCCCCAGTAAGCCCAGTGCTGCCTCTCCCCTGCAGGTGCAGGGGGTGGGTGCTCAGGGCTGGCGGACACTTTCATCCCTCTTCACCCGCGAGGACGAGCACCAACTGCTCAGCCCCGAGCTCTGCGCAGACCAGTAAGTGGCACTTCAGTGGGGGGGACCCCAGAGCCTGGATCCAGCCCCTGCGAGCTCACGACACCCCCCCCCCCCAGATCTCATGAGGCTGGGCTGGGGGGGCAGCATGGAGGGGGACCTTGGGGGTGCCAGTCCTGGCCACTGTGGGACGCAGCGAGAAGGGTCCCTACACCGACATCCCCGTGCCCGCTCTCTCCCCAGCCCGCTGGCCGCCTCGCCCCCGGAGCCGCCCCCCTCTGAGAAGGCTTCCAGCTTTTGGGGTCTCTTTGCCACCAAGTGGCAGCAGGCACCGGGGCTGGACAAGGAGGTGTCCCCCCCGGAGCTGGCCGAGAGCCCCGCCGAGCCACCAGGTGACGATGGCAGCGACCTGCGGGACCCGGAGGAAGGAGCCTTCCGCTGGGGCTTCCTGGCGGGCAAACTGGCCGAGATCCGGAATAAAACCGCTCCCAAGGGCAAGTAGAGGAGGATGCGGCAGCGGGACCCTGCAGCAGCACCAGCAGGACCCTGCAGCAGCACCAGCAGCTCCGGAGGGCAGCCCCTGCCCACAGCCGAGGGGGGCTCCGCGGTGTTTCGCAACGTGTCTGCACTAAAGACCCCGAGGTGCCCCCTTCTCCCCGAGCCCTGCCTGGTGCTTGCTTCTCCCTTGTCCCCCCCAGGAGCCCTATTGCCCCTGGAGCAGCATGGCCCCACCGCGGCATGGGGAGCTGCCTCTCCCCCCCGCCAGCCTAAGCTCTGCCCCACACGAACCACACGCGACGCCCTATAAAAAAGAGCCAGGTTTATTGAGCGCTACTCCGGCCCCTGAGGGGTGGGCACTGCCTGCAGTGGGGGGCTCGGGCTCTGCCCACCCCATGGCTTCCAGCTGGTGCAGGGCAAGAGCGGAGACGGGGAGGATGGAGCTGGGTCAGGCACAGAGGCAGCAGCCTGCCAGCCCTGTGGACAAGGACAGACTCCCCCAGGGGAGCCCCTTTCCCACCTGCCCTCCAGGTGCCCCTGTGGACTCATCCCTGGTCCTGGGTAGACCTGGCGGCCCTCTCAGCCAGCTGCTCCGTAGCACCAGAACGGGGACATCCCCGGGGCTACCTCCACTTAGACAGCGGGCTCCTGGGCCGCCACCCCCGCTCGCTGGCAGTCGTAGAGCCACTTGATGATGCGAGCGTTGCGCTCTACCACCGAGACGGCAGAGCCCAGCCGAGCATCCGGCTCCTCCTCACCCGGTCCCACCTCCCCATCGCTGCCCCCCGAGGCCTGCCCGGGCTCCGACTCGCAGGAGCCGTGGAGCAGAGCCCGGGAGTTATCCCAGCCCGCGGGCACGAACCTCTCCCGGCCCAGCAGCTCCACCAGCGCCCGGTCCAGCCCGCAGCAGTTGAAGAACCGCTCCTGCTCCGAGAGCGGCAGCGACAGGCGCAGAGCCAGCGCCGGCTTCCCGGGGGGCTGCGCCACGGAGCCGCCGGGCAGAGCGACGATGCCAGCGCTGCCACCTCCGCTGCCGGCACCCGGCGTCCTCGCCTCCTCCTCCTCCTCCTCCTCTGTGGGCACCCACGGCACGGGGGTCTCGGGGCTCTGGGGTGCCGGCGGCCCCTCACCCAGCCCCCTGGGAGGGGACGAGCCGGGGCACTTGTCCCTGCGGGGGCCCTGGCAGAGCGGTCGCGGCAGCGCGGAGCCGTCGGCGTTCTCCTTGTCCCCGTCCGGGCAGTCCCGTCCCTGCCGGTGGATGAGGAGGGCCTCGGGTCCCAGCACGGGGCTCTGGCACAACTCGTGCCGCTGCTGGCGGGCGAGGGCGCGCTGGGCTCCGGGGGAGAGCCAGGGCGAGCGGCTCCGCAGCGCCGGCTCCTGCCGCCGGTTGATGACCTGCAGGGACTTCACGTACTTGGCCTTGTCGGCCTCCAGCCGCTCCACGGCGCTGCACGTCCGGGCCCCGCCACCTCCCGGCTCCCGCGGCCACCCGGGGCTCCGGTTCAGCCGGGCCAGGGGGGAGCCGCGGCCGGGGACCACGAGGTGCAGGTTGCTGGAGGCGCAGGCGGCAAGAGGGGGGCTGCCCGGGGGCACCATCGCCCCCAGCCCTTGAACGTGAACCCCGGTTGCTCTGTTCCCCCTCGAGTGGCTGCGGACGGGTCCGGTGCTGCGGACGGGGAGGCTCCCAAAGCTTCGCTTGGCTCCTGGATTAGGCCCTGGGAGGAGAGAGGAGATCCGGGCTCAGCACCAAGGATGCAGCAGTGGCAGGAAGTGGATGGGAGGGGGGGATAAAGCAGAACTGGAGGTTCCCTTGATCCCATGCTCTGGCCAAGCAGCGAGCTCTGCCAGCCGAGCACAAACAATCCATGGGCAGGAAGAAAGATGTGCTGACCATCTGCCGGCTTCACCCGCACCGCAGGAGCAGCTTCCAACAGGAAGGAATACCAGAGCCGCTGCCTTATCTTGGAGCGCAGGGACAGGAGAACAAAGCCCGTGCACGGGAGAGCTGCTGAGCTGGGCCCCTGGGCCCCTGAGTGGTGGCACCAGGGCAGGGGCTGCAGGATGCTCTGGGGTCTCTGGGCCGTGCTCCCTGCAGCCAGGCTGAGGCATCTCCTGCTCAGTGAGGGGGGCACGGAGCAAAGGGGCTTTATCAGCCCTGGGGCATGATGGCTCTTGCTCAGCTGTGCCCAAGCATCTGTGCAGGGCCGGGCTGTGGATCCAGGGGTGGGTGCCAGAGGAAGGGGGTCTGGAGCCTGGGCCAGGGTTTGTAAATGCCCAAAGCAGGTGGTTTCACTGAGCAGAAGAGGCCCAAATGGTCACAGAGACCCAGCCCCGCAGCCTCACCAGGTGACAGCAGGGATATGGGGCCGGGCAGAGCAGGATCACTGGAGAGCAACAGCCCAGGAGCCCTCTGCCTGCTCAGCTCCACACAACCCCACGGCCACATCCAGCCCTGTACAGAGAGGGAAACTGAGGCACGTGGTTTGTCCAGTCCCATGCTCCCAAGGGCTGAGCTCCCCACTGCTGGGCAGAGATCCCCAGAAGCTCAAGGGAAGATGCGCCCAGCACAGCCCCATCCCCTTCCAGCTTTGCCTTGGCAGAGCCAATGAGCCCAGTGCCCTGCACCAGGCCAGAATCATGCCCAGCACCTGGGCTCGGCAGGTGGAGGATGCTCTCGCTCACCTGAGCCCACACAGGGATACAGGGATGCAGGACGCTCTGTTCTTGCCTGGCTCCTGAGCCACCACAGGGAGGCAGGGATGGGATGTGGGATGCTCTGTTCTTGCTCAGCTCCTGACCCCACACAAGGATGCAGGGACGGGGTGCGGGATGCTCTGTTCTCGCTTGGCTCCTGAGCCACCACAGGGATGCAGGGATGGGATGTGTGGATGCTCTCTTCTCGTTGGGCTCCTGCCCCTCTGCCAGCCACAGCAAACTGAGCCCAGAGCAAGCAGGAGCCTCATGTAGAGGTTGAGGAGGAGCCACCCCATTAACCCCTTCCAGCCCAGCCCCACCAGCAGGAGCGCTGTGCCCCAGCCACAGCCTTCACACCCTGGAGCCCACCCTGCCCAGCCAGCGTGACAACTCCCACTCCTGCAGCCCCAGCTCACCTCAGCAGCTCTCCTCCTCCTTCTGCCACCTCCTTATAGGAGCCTGGCCAGGATTCTGGGATCCACAGCAGGGATGTGCCTCCTCCCAGGCAGGACTGAGTCTCTTTGTCCCTCCCCAGCACACAGCGCATCAAGGACGGGCCAGAGAAACCACGTCCACTCCAGCAGTTCCCGCTCCTCCATCCACCTGGGTGGATGCTGGGTGCGGGTCCAGGTCCTTCCCCAGGATCCTGCCCCATCCAGCGAGGGAGGAGGAGGGAGGCAAGGTCCTTCTGGCACTTTCTCTGCTGGTGGCGAAAGGGTCAAAATGAAGCAGGCAAGTTCCTGCCTCCTCTTCCCCCCCTCCCCGGGAAGGGCTGTAAATTGCAGGAAGCCACAATGGGCTGGAGCCGGCCCAGGGGTTATTTTTACCTCCGCCCAGGGCTGGATGCTCCCAGCGGCACCCCCCTATCCCCTGCTCCTGCCTGGGGGGCTGCGAACGTGGGGCTGCTGTGGCTGGGCGGGGGGGGGGCACCGGCTCCCTCCGGCTCCTGCAGCTGGTGTGGATGGAGAGCACTGCCCAGCCCAGGCTCCAGCAGGGACAAAGCTCAGGCATTTGGCCCGGGACCAACTGGGACCATCCCAGTTCCTCCATGTGGTGCTGCTGCTCAGGAACTGGGATGTGAGCAGTGCCAGGAACTGGGTCCGCATCCAGCACTTCCCTGTGCGACAGCACCAGTGCCAGGACTCCTGGGCTGATGAAAACCGAGGCTAAACCAGAGGCTGAGCAGGATAAGAGCAGCCAGGGCTTGTCCAGGCTCTGCAGGCACTGGGAAGAACCCCAGGAAAAGCAAGGAAGGGACAGGACCTATTCTATTGCAATAAACCTGGAGAGGAGCAACGCGGGGAGCTGCCTCTTCCAGCAGTACTCGGGCTCTGCGTGCACGATTCGGCCATGCCAGAGCAAATCCAACCACCTCCAGAGGGAAACGGGAAAAGGATGGGGGCAAGTGATGGATCTGCCGCAGGAAGAGGGGCACCCACGTTCCCACAGGGGAGAGGAGCTGTTCTTAACTGCAGACAACGTGAATCACTGTTTATCAGAACAGGTTTTGTTTCCTGAGCAGGAATAACGGGAAAGCCACAAGTGAGTAAGAGCAGCCTCATATTCCCCTTTCTCCGGCGGATACAGGGTGTCCCCATGGGATGCTCCTACCAAACGCCTGCCCCTGTCCCAGAGCAACTGCTCCCCTCTCCAGCTCCTCCTCAGAGCACAGCTGAACTGGTTCATTTCATTTAGGCAAAGCACATCCCCTTTGGGATACAACAAGGGATGATTTGAGGGGCCCTTCCTGGCATCAGCATCCCAGGCAGCTCCTGCTTCCCCTGGGGAGGCAAATGGGGGTTTTGTCACTGTGACTTCTAGGAAGGGATTTACCCAACTTACCAGCCTCTTGGTGGCTCTTCTGGGTCCCATGGATGCTCAAAAGTCCCTTGTTCTCATTGCAGAACACTCGGAGCTCTCACAAGGCGTGCTCTGCTCTGCACTGGGGCTCTGCTTCCCCCCCAGCTCACTGGGAAGCAAGCAAGGTACCAGACAAGCAAAGCAACCCTGGGCACGGCTGGTAACGAACCCTCCAGCTTTGCAGCGGGTGAGAGGAGGCTGAGGAAGCCCTCAAAGAGATTCCTTCTTCTTCCAGCACCGCTTTCCAGCTTGATGACACAGCCCTGCTCCTGCAGGCCCCCTCATGGCAGGGACAAACCTGTCCCCATCCAACCCCTTCCAGATGCATTTCTCCTTTACAAAGAGAACTGTAAAACCCCACTTTAACTCCCCCACGACCAGGCGCAGGCAGGACCGCAGCACCCGGTAGCAGCCATCTGCTGCAGCCTGCTGCTCTGCTTTCACATCCCACAAAAGGTCCATCGTGGTCCCAGCTCCATGCAGATGCCTGGAGAGCAGCCCCTGGGAGCTGGGCGGCAGCAAGCCAGCGGGAGCCTGGGGTGCAGGCGCTTTCCCTAAGGGGCAGGCAGGAGCCTCACCGTACCGCTGGCTCCAATGGGCTTGAATAACCCTGAAGCCATCGCTAACCTAAGGCACCACAGACCACAAGGAGGAATCAGACAGCAGCGGGGCTCCTTGTCCAAACCCTGCCGTGGGGGCTTCAGAACCCGATGGCTGCAGAGCAAAACAGGTCAGAACCATGACCCCGAGGGCAGACAGAGATGGAGGAAGGTGCCAGGACTGAGGGCAGCAGCATCCCCGGTGTCAGAGGCGAGCACCTGCGCTGACCCCACCGCCTGCTGCAAGGGACCTGCAAAGGTTTTTAGGCTGCATCTCCTCTATCTGAAAGCCCAGAGATTGAAGAAGCCTCTGCGCAACCGCAGCCCTGGCAGCAGCTCTGCCCCCTCGGGAGACAGCAAATATGGGGCAGCCCCAAAGAGAACAGCTCCAACCACCCCCGGGCAGCTCAGCTCAGCCCCACGGCTCAGCCCAGGCCCCTCCTCACAAACTGCAGCCCTGATGCAATCCCTTTTCACTTCAGGCAGCCAAAGACTCTGCACATTCACGTGGGAACAAAGGGATTGCACAAGCGCATGGGCTGGGCTGCAGCTCCCCTCCACCAGCCAGCGCTGGTGCTGGCTCATCCTCCAGGTCACTTCTCCGTGTTTCATCTGCTTTGCTCCCAAGAGCACGCAGACCCCCCCTTAATAAGCTCATGGAGCCAAGAGAGACCTGCAGCAGCTCAAGTCTTGTCCCTCCACCTCCTACAGTGCAGACACTCGTGGCACCGCAGGCACATCCCTCCTCCCTCATCGCACTTAAGGAGAGAAACTGCACTTTGCATCCACAGCTCCCTGCTACCAAAGGGGGAACTAAACCCGCAGCGCCCATTAAACAGTCGGGGTTTACACGCTCCAGTCCTCTGCTCAAAGCACGAACCCCCGGCAAAGACAGGAAACGCTCAACAACCAACGTGCCATGGAAGGATCTGCAGAGCATCCACGGAGCAAAGGGAAAAGCCACACAAAGTCCCCCATTTGTGCTGCCCGCAGTCCGAGCGCATCTGCCCCGCACCTATGGCACAGGGGAGGGGGGAAAGCTGCTTCTCCGAAGCCAGGGCAGCTTTCCAAGGGGTGGAGGAGCGGGACAGCAGCCTTATCTTCACCACAGAGCAACATCTGCCATTACGCTGCAGTCTGCACCAAACACAAAGCAAAACCAGAGCCAAGGCGAGCGCCCAAGCCCTGGATTGCCCAGCGAGGACCTGCCCAAGGGAACGGAACAGGCGAGATGGGGCCTCAGCTTGTGCACAGCGAGGAAAGCAAAGCAGAATTAGGGTTATCTGAGCCTTGGTTACATCCAGTTTCGGCACCAGGGCAGTGCCTTGCAGGTTTCTGCCCTCCCTCCCAGCCATGGATTAGATGCAGTTCAAGGCTCAGGCTTCTTCACTGTGTGGGAGGAATTTAGCTTGTGTCTGTATTGAAAATCCCCACTCTTCCAAGGAATCCAAGGTGTGACCTTCTCCTTTAATTCAGGTGCTTACCCTCCAATACAGATCCTGCCAAGGGGGGAATCTGCCTAGTTCTGGCACCAGCATGCACAGGAATCTGCAGGTGCCGATGCAAGAGCACGGCCCATGTGGCTGGGCTTGGGTTTGTTGCAGGGATAAGAAAGGGCAGGACCAACCGGTTTGCAGCATTTCCTGGTTGCTCTGTTCCCAGTCCCTTTGCTCCAACGGTAATTAAAACATTGTCCTGATTTCAGCTATAACCAAGCTCATTTTCTCCCTAGCAGCTGGTGCAGGGCTGTGGTTTCAGCCTTAGCCTGAGAACACCGCCGATAACACACCAATGCTTTGGGTGTATTTACCCTGATCAAGGACTTTCCAGTCTCGTGCTCTGCCAGTGAGGAGGAGCAGCACAAGAAGCCAGGAGGGAGCAGAGACAGGACACCTGAACTAGCCAAAGGGATATTCCATCCCACAGCACATCATGCCCAATAGAGAAACCGGGGGGGATTTGGATAGCTGCTCAGGTCAGGCTCAGTATGGGTCAGTGGAGGTTGAGCAATAGGACTGCACATCACTGCTGTTGGTTGGGGTTGTTTTGTTTGATCTTTCCCTCTTATTTCCCTTTTCCTTATTACTGCTATGCCTTAATTATTGCACTGCTCTTATCTCAAGCCACACGTTTTACCTTCCTTCTGATCTTTAGCTGCCAGATGGAGTTAAACCCACAACAAACATGCAAAACACTACTATGTTTTTGTATTATGCCCAAGTAACAGTGGCTCCTGAGCTCTATTCCTAAGGCTCCTCAGGGCACACAAGACCCTCACAAACCTCCAACTACTTACACCTACTTGAGGTCCCAAAAGCCAGCACGTCTGCTCCCTCCACCAGCTCCAGCCAAAGCCAGCAGTGCTTGGTGCAGGAGCACCAGAGGGAAGCAGAGCAGAGCATAAATTCACCATCAGTCCTCTGCACAGGGCCTGTGGTGCAACAGCTTTCACCCACAGAACAAGGGGTGGGGGCTTTTGGTATGAAATCCTGCTCCAGCAAGCACAGGAGCTAGAGGGGAAACACTCACTCCAGGACAGTGGCAGCATCTGTTTGCATCCTCAGTAGTACTAGCAGTATGTTTGCTTACAGCCCATGGTGGTACTTGGTGTGTTTCTAATAACTTCAGGTACGTACTGGACGCAAGAATCATGCTTTTTGTCTTTAATCCCCTCTTTGGAAATGAGGTACAGCCACAGGAACAGCATTTTGACTCTTAAAAAGGCTCAGTAGAACACACAGGGTCCACATGGACATGGCTCACCTCAGGTGGTCTGGAGCCAGCTCCCTTTTCACATGCATTCAGCCTCACTGTCAACTCCTCCAGCTGCACACCACACATCACTTGAAGTCTGGCACTGCTACTACCCAGAGAAGATGAGTGGCACTGCTATTAACCAACCCAGCATCTTCCATAAGCTGAGGATAACCTACAGGATGACTGAAGTGCTACAGCTTACTTCTGCCCTAAGCACAGCAAACAAACTCCTGTGTAGCTCTGCAGACATTGCACCGACTGAGAAGAAAGCATTTCTCTGCATAAAGTTCAACAACTTCATTGAAAATCAGGTTTTATTTCAAAAAACAGTCATGAACTGAAATTGCACAATTTTCCTCATTATAAATTCTTTGTAAAATATATTTTACAGTTTTTAAAGAAAGATTTGAAAAAGAAATCTTTTCTAAGTGCTGAAGAAGTCTCTTGACTTTGTGTCACGCTGGTGAGGAACTCCAGAGCTGCTACAACGATGTGATTTATCAAAACAGAACAGAAACCAAACAGAACACAGATTCAAGGATTCAGTGTTAACCAAGGAAACACTCCACAGCAAGGCGAAGCACCATGAGGGGGATTTCAGGTACCCCCATGTTTTAAAGTGGCCGTCAGTGCAAAGAAACACTTGGGAAGTCAAAACACCCATTTCCTGTGCCGTTCACTCCTTGCTGCACTGCAGGCAGGCAGCATACTCAGTGTTCAGCCTTTGAAATACTTCAGAGAGGATTTGCAAAGCACCTTAAAGAGAAAGTGTTACTGTGTAGTAAGTGCATACTTCAAGCTAACAGCTGATTCTGGCTTCTGGGGGAGGTAAGCGAGGAGGAAGTTGGCAATGGATTTTTTATAGAGCTCCTAAGTTCAACATGGAAAAGTTCTATGCCCTCTACAAACATCGAGTGCCCCTGCTGAGATAAATGTAAGCACTGTGGAACAGTGTTGGCACAGACAGCGAGCAGTTTGTTTTCCTTTCCATAACAGGCCAAGGCTTCAGTTGTACCGAACTCGGGTAAAATGAGAACACACACATCTCTGTTTGCAGAGCCCAAGAAAAAATAGATCTCTTCCGATGGCTACTCACACATAGGCTCCGAGTCTTCTACAGACTAAGCTCTCTGCAGGGAAGGAGCAACGCTGGGACATCTATAGAGGCAACAGGCTTGTCCTCAGTATGACACAGTCACCCCTCCATCGCTGCCCATTTACACTGGAACTCTACTGCTCTGCTTGTAGTCTTCTGCAAGTTACTTCTATAGCATCTTCTAAACAAAACATTGCTTTGAAACAGCAAAGTATCATCTGAGAATCACTGTTTATGACAACGTCAGGTTGGGAAGTGAAGCTAAGGTGTGGTGAAGCAAAATAACACAGATTAAGCTCCTTAAGTAACTGCCACCACTCTATACACCACCAGGTAAGAGCCATCTGTACTCTGTAAAGCCTCAGAAGTTTGGCAGAATCAGAATCCTTTGCTTTTGGAAGAACAAAAAGGCAGAACAATGACTAATCAGAACTGCTCTCACAGCACTAACAGGGAACATAGCTGAGAAGTAAATTACACAGGGAAATACAACAGTTTCTAGGCAAATTTGGGGGGAAAATAAAACCAAAACACACTAGGTTGATTTTGTGATGAAAACTGGCCTTTGTTGTTGCTGTAAAGGCAATTCTTTAAGACTCTACTTTTTTCCAAGAGGTCAAATAGATGAGAGAGGCCATAGTCCTCTCTCGGCATATCAGTCTGCTTCTGTGGAATAAGAGCTGAGGATAAGCAGCCTTTCAACCACTTCAAAGCTACATCTCCCCATCTGTGTTTTTAAGTGAATATTACTTCTTTAAAAGGAAGACACTAACTGGAAAAAAAGAGCCAAGGTTGCCACACAAATGGGAGATACGTCTCACATACTGGTTACTGAAGAGGTGTGTGCTACAAGACAAACAGTCACGCCTTTATCTCCTCCTCACCACCATGTTAGAGGTAGTGCCAGAAAGGAAGAGGCCATGACCATTGTCACTGGTCAGATCTAGTTAATGGGAAAACCACCCCCATATTTTAAAGAATCTTAAAAAGAACACTCTATGCTGCTGGATTCCCTCATTCATTTTCCATAAGCTAAGCCCAAAGTACTCTTATTATAAATCCTCAAAGTGCTATTGAATTATAGATAGAGGAGTAGAGAGCATGTGTGAAAGTGTAGATTAACTGATTAATCAAGTGTTTGATCCCTAGGAGAAAGCAAAACTGAATGATTATAAAGAGCAAGGCAACCTGCTAGTACCCAACTGCATACGGTTCTGACTCCCAGTGACAAGCTCATGAAGCTGTAAGTGCTCAGCGTGGCCACATCAGCACTTTGAGAACTGCTGAGCCCCTTGCACTGCAATTTCTCTTTGTCAAGTCTCAGAGCCTCTCTTTGACATTAGATAACAAAAATAAATAATCAAGTTATTCAGGCCTGAAGGAGGAGGAATGCTTCTCATCTATCTTCATCTTGTTTTCTAGCAGACCCCAATCATGCAGACCCACACCAAATAATTTAAGTGCCATACACTCCCAGTCACTCATATACATAAATATATACACAGAATTGCTTTACAAAGCTTGAAGATTTGCACTACCAGCATGCAAATCTTTTTTCCATTAGAGTTCCTAATACTCACATAGGAAACTGGAATGTACGAAATACTCCATGACATAGTGCTAGAAGTAAAGCCTCAGCTCTTAAAGACATCCCACTGCCAGCATACACCGACAAACACTGTCACACCTTACACTTGCATGTAACACCCTGGTATTATACACATCAACGCACAGCAGCCGCCTCGACACTCGTATCATGAGACTCAAAAAGAGATTCATTTGGTAGAAACTACACCCTGCAGGTTGGAGTTCAGGCTCGTTTCTTTTACTGCTGTTAAGCTGCGCTATCAGTTCAGTGAGAAGCAGCTCTATCAGGACACACACACACACAGCCGGGCCCCCATCACGTGTCCCAGCTGCTGTCCTTAAAAGCGATGTTGACTAATCGAAGCTCCAGCTCAAAGGCATCGGGGCGGTCCTGGGGATTGGCAGCCAGCATCTCCTTCAGCAGCCGTTTCATCTGAGCGTTCATGGACTTCTTCTTCACAGGGATGAGCAGCTCCATTTTGGGGTTCTCCAGGAGGGCCTCTCCAACGGGCACGATCGCTGTCCCCTGCTTGACGTAACTCCCCAGGAGTTCCTTCTTGGTTTCTGTATCTATAAATGTGATTCTTTCCAGCATTGCCCAGATTATAATCCCCAGTGCAAAGATGTCTGCTTTGGCAGTGTAGTGTCCTTCCCAGACCTCAGGGGCCATATAGAAGTCAGTCCCACATGCAGTTGATAGAAAACACTTATTTACGTTGACTGGCTCCTCGGCGTTCTGTCCTGAGGCTGAGCATACTTTACTCAGCCCAAAATCAGCCACTTTCAGGGTAGGCTCCAAGTCACTTGCATCCATCCTGCTCTGAGAGATCAGAATGTTGTCAGGTTTGAGATCACGATGAATAATCTGATTTTTGTGCAGGAATGCCAGGGCGCTGCTGAGCTGAAGCATGAAGCTGGTGTTGGTCTTGCGGTTTGGCTTTCGGGACAACAGATACTCATTCATGTCTCCTCCATCACAGAAATCCATCACAAACCAGAGGTAATAAACACTCCTGGGGTCAAAGACTATTTCTCCTTTTAATGAGGTCTCTACAAGCTGCAACAAGGAAAAGAAATACCGTAACTACCTGATGATCACAAGAATGTAAAGATATGATGGAAAAACACGTGGAGTTTGGATCCTCCTCTCAACAGTCCAGAGAGGAAGACACTTCGACTGGTGAAAAGAAAAACTCATGCCAAGTTTCTGATTTAATAAAACTAGAAGTCACAGTGTTTGTTTGACAGCCCCCTCACTTTCATGCAGACGAAGCATATCAAGCTCATGCTCTTGCCCAGAAGCTGAATAACTATTCTGAAAGACACTCAGTGGCCACTGCACTCCCATCTGCTCCAGCTGGACAGTGTCCCTGCCCAACAAAGCCTGTCCCACCCATCTGGTCAACAACTTTAACTTATAAACAAAGTCTTAACAAGCAACTGAACAGTGCCAGGGGCTTGTCTGCTCCACAACAGGTTTTTAAAGGCTTCTCTATTCCTTCCACAGGAATGTATCCTAGCAAGCATTAACACAGGATCCCTTCCCTTAGGAGAATGCTAATCTACAGGCACAGCTGCTGCAGAACAGCTCTCCCACCATCATGATCCATCAGCTGTTTTCTGGAACATAAGTAGTGTGTAGCCTGAGCAGCCAGTTCTAACAGCTGCCTCAAACAGAAAGCAAAGCAAAACCAGCAATCAGTTTTACTAATCCCAGTTACACAAGCTCACATTTGCCTCTTCAGCTCCTCTGAGGTGGCACTAAGCAGCAGGTAAATCCTGATGGAAGTCTTGCAATTATTTGTTAGTAGCAACCAATGTATACAAAAGCAAACACAGCTCCTACAGGCTTGCAAAAATTGAGGTAGCTATTCACATTTAGAGCAACATTTTAAAGTGCTTTGAAGAAGTGACCTTTCCCATCCAAGAGCAAAATTCCTAGCAATCTATAGCTATCTAATTGCTAGCATAACTAGTACCCAAACCAGACCAACTTAAAACAGTAAATCCAGGTTAGAGCTAGAAAAAAACCTGTTTCAGGTCTACAATCAGTAACTGAGATGAAGGTATCACAGGGCAGCAGGGTGTCCCCTCTGCCAAGCGAGCACCAAGCCACAGCTCTTCCCCCCACACCTTTACAGAAGCTGTAACTGCATCTTAGCTCAGCACTAAGACTTCACTACCAGATCTGTGCCAGCTGCAAAGCACCACAAGATCAGACTGGTTCAGGACTCTCACTTCACTGACTTAGTTCAGCTGACACTAGTGAAGCATCTGCCCCACAGCCCTTCAGGAGACACCAATATCCCTTTCCCCAGGCAACCTCCTCACCCACTACACCAGTGCAGCTCTGTAACACACTACTTCCCCCACCTGGGGTGGGGAGAGTAGAGAGCAGCCAAGCGAGATCTGATTTTCTCTGTTTCAGCACATGCTATTATAAAGTGATCCCAGCCTCATCAGTCAGCTCTGCCCTCCACTCCCCTCTGCTCTGAACAGCTTGCACCTGACATGGGTGAGATCTACAGGCTGCATTGTTAACAGGCACCACCATCAAAAGCCAGTGCTGTAGGTGAGCTGGAAGCTCTCCTCACCTTCCACCCTGGGGGGTTTTAAAGTTTCTCTCTGTACAAGCGTCCACATCTCTCACAGACCCACTAAGGACTAGGAAGGTAAGGCACTAACACCTCCCACATGAGCTCGCCAGTATTATGTTACCCTAACCCCTTCATGAAAGCAGGTCAGTAACAACTACCAAGCTACAGCAAGCTTACAAAGGCAAGAATCCTCTTTCTCAGGCTCACAGAGCACTCAGCTCAACAGGATGTGGACAGCCATGAAGGGCTGTCAGCTGAATGCTCACCAACAAAAGGCCCTACATTAGACACGCAAGAATGACAACAGAAACTGAAATGATAAAAGCTGACTGGGGATGACACAATTAACATAGAGCAGGCTCAGGACTTTTTAAACCAGAGACATTAAATCCCTGCCAGGGAAGGACTTCAAGTTGGGGCAGCTCCTTCACAAGGGAATGAATGTGATTATCTTTCAAAGTCTTTCCAGAACTGCTTATTCTTCAACCATCCGCATCTTCAAACTTAAAGAAGATTTTCAGCAGCCAAATAAGGGGAGTGAAATTTAATCCCTTACTTATCACACCTTTACCTCTCCTTGAAGATATTAATAGCTCTTCAAAACCAGGAAATGGCTCACCATATGCTGCCAACTGCTGATCCTTTCTGAGAGAATTCTAAGTGTTTGCTTCCTAAATCAAGACTCTTACTTCTTCTTCCAAGGACATTCAAGATTAAGAAATGCTTCAGAGCAGTCTCCCAAGACATATCTGCTCATTAACCCTGCAGCAGGGCTTCTGCTGCGGAATACAACAGCCTGCACCTCCCTTGTGCTTCACCTGTGGTGCTTCCTCAAATTATCAAAGCAGATTTGCATTTAACCTCCCCCCAGTCTTCTGGAGTGGCACTGGCTTCACATTACAACGTACAGGCAACTGTTCAACAGACAGGCTCTTTTAAGATGATGTAATTATTTTGGGGTGTCAACAATGCAGACAATACCCTCTCCTAACTATGGATACCTCAAGAAACCCCGGAGATCTTAGCTACCCACCTCCTTCCCTCCCAGCTACACGTTCAGAATCATGACTTTCACCCCATTACCTCAGCTTCATGTACCTGTAAATAAAGGGAGGAACTGGAGCCATGGGACATCTTCTGCACCATACCATCTTTCTGCAAGATGCACTCCTCCAGGTGAATGACGTTGGGATGCTGGCTCTTGATACTGCTAAGTGCCCAGAACTCACGCAGAGCTAGTTCCACGTTCTCTGGAGCATGGCACCGAATCTTTTTCACCGCGACCCGTGCAGAGGTCTTCCTGACGACTGCTTCGTACACCACACCATAACTGCCACGACCAACCTCTCGTATTAGATCGTACTTAGGCTGGCTACTCACCATCTTCAAGACCAAGGGTTCTGGGGAAGGGGGGAAAAACCCACAGAACTAAAACTTATGAACAAGAACTGGGCTGTATTTTCCCCCATGTGGTTTGGTGCAGCAATACGAGGCCTACCGAAACCCTGCCGCTAACAGGAGAGTGCCTCCGAGCATTACACTGATGCTGCATCCAAGTGCTGAAACGTTCCAGAAGCTACTCTGTAAACCTGCACCTGTTGCCACGGACTAGTGAAAGGTGAAATTACATCATTTTGGTGGGACTATTAACATTTCAAATACAGCCCAGTTTTCAAGGTGGCAACAATTCAAACCTAGACTTGCATTGCACTGAGACGGGACTATCCCATATGCTCCTGCTCCTTTCTCTCAGTGCCTTCTGTGAGCATCTGCAGGAATAATAGTATGGTACCATGCTCTCCATCGATGCCTGGAAGAGCAAGGAGAAGTTCTAGTTGAAGCCTGTGGGCAAGCAGTAACAGATCTGATTAACACTGCCTGTTACGCAGATGACTGTGGAAATAAATGTTTCGGGTATAATTTCATCATGAATTTCTTTCACTGATACCAAGACAAGCAGATGCTTTGGACTGCTTCTGGTTTTTAGTACTACTGTGATTTTTCACCAAGTCTCTTGTGATTGAGGAGTCTACAGCTGCAGGAGGTTTAAAGGGTAACTGACTGCAGAAGCTTGTGCCCTGCACCTGACTTTCACTTCTGCTCAACAGGGCAAGGACAAAAGTTAAGACGTTGCTCTGTAAGTAAAGTGAGACACACACCAAAACAAAAGCCACCAAACACTGCTGTAGATTCATGACCCTCTCTACGCACCTCCCTGCAAGATCACAAACCAAAACCACACCCCCACCACCTTCACACAACCAAACCAAAAAGGGACACTGACTATAGACAGGGGGGAAAAAGGCTTGGCCAGCCAGTTATCACTGGGCAAACAGAGCCAAACACAACGCAAATAAAGCACAACTGAAAGGGTCTGTGACACTGCCAGGGATAAATGGAATTCTCTTTATGTCAGTAAAGCAGGCAATAGGAAACACATCAAAAAGAGCCTGTTCAAGTATCTCCACTGGTTTAGAAACTTATTTTTCTTTAAGAAAAAAATAAAAAGGAAAAAAAGAGAGAGAAAAAAAAAAGGTACCATCAGCCTCAGGGTAACACCACACACACATCGTAACCTTCCACACAACTCTGTGGTATGCATGTATGAGACCACCACCATCGGATTCTGCTCACCAGACGCACCGAGCCCGCACCTGCGAGGCACAGATTAAGATTACAGCCTCAGCATTAAACTGTGGTGGGCCAAACCCCCTCCCATGCAAGGGAGAAGAGCAGGATCTGTAATCCCACCAGCAGCCAAATAACTCCTGAGGGAAAGACTGCTTTACACCCTCACATCAAGCTCAAAACGAGCAGAACCCCCCCCTCCTCCGTGTGTAAGAGTTGGTTGCTGTGCGTTGGTACCAGAGAGAATGTGTCACAGTGCCAAGCGTTGGGGGGGCTCTCTGCCTCCCTTCACCCCCACAGCGGGCCCGGCTGCTCTGGAAGCACCGCCGCGGTTCTTGCCTAAGCGCACGGTAAATACCGCCCGCTCCCCAGGGCAGCGACCCGGGCCGGGCCCCGCAAAGCAAACGGGCCGGGCCTGCTGCAGCCGGTAACGCGTTCCGTGCCGCGTTAGCAACAGCCACAATGGAACAAACCACACACACCCCCCGCCCCGCTCCCGGAGCTGCCGTCACAACCGGGAGCCCACCGGCACTACGGGGACCTGGCTCCAGCGCGCAGCCACCGAGGCACCGCTCGCTGCAGGCGGAGGCCGGCAGCGGGGCCTACACCCCGCCAGGCGCGGCCCGAGGGGCGGCAGGGCCGCTGCACCGCACCCGCCTCGGCGGTTACCGGGGGTCCCGCAGAGCCTGGCGCACCCCTGCAGCGGAGGCACCGCCCGGGCGGGCCCGGCGCGGCCCCGACTGTGACGAGCGGGGATCAACCGCTCGACCTCGGTCCCGTCCCCCGGCCCGGGCCGGGCCCAGCACCACGTTACCTCCGCGCCGCTACCGCGCTGCCGCCGCCCGGCCGCCATTATAGGGCTCCCCCAACAACTGCGCCGCCGCGGCCACGCCCCCGCGCGGGCCACGCCCCCGCGCCTCCGCTGCGCCTTCTGATTGGTCTGTGCGGTCCGACGCGGTTCGGTTACGCCCGGCCCCAGGCTGCCCGGCGCGGGGGTTCGCGGGGTCCCGCTTTATCCCGCTCCATCCCGCTTTATCCGGCTTCGTCCCGCACCGTCCCGCTCTATCCTGCTCTATCCCGCTTCATCCCACTCTATTCCTCTTTATCCCGCTCCGTCCCTCTCTATCCCGCTCTGTCCCGCTCCGTCCCTCTCTATCCCGCTCTGTCCCGCTCTATCCCGCTCTGTCCCGCTCCATCCCACTTTATCCCGCTCCATCCCGGTCTGTTCCACTCCATCCCGCTTTATCCCGCTTCGTCCCGCACCGTCCCGCTCTATCCTGCTCTGTCCCGCTCCATCCCACTTTATCCCGCTCTATTCCTCTCTATCCCGCCCCGTCCCTCTCTATCCCGCTCCATCCCACTTTATCCCGCTCTATCCCGCTCTATTCCGCTCTGTCCCTCTCCATCACACTCCATCCCGCTCCATCCCACTCTATCCTGCTCCGTCCCTCTCCATCCCACTCTATCCCACTCTATCCCGCTCTGTCCCGCTCCGTCCCGCTCCATCCCGCTCTGTCCCTCTCCATCACACTCCATCCCGCTCCATCCCACTCTATCCCGCTCCGTCCTTCTCTATCCCGCTCTGTCCCACTCCATCCTGCACCCACCCGCTCCGTCCCTCTCCATCCCTCTCTATCCCGCTCTGTCCCACTCTGTCCTGCTCTATCCCGCTCTGTCCCACTCTGTCCTGCTCTATCCCGCTCTGTCACACTCTGTCCTGCTCTATCCCGCTCTGTCCCACTCTGTCCTGCTCTATCCCGCTCTGTCACACTCTGTCCCCTCTCTCTACCTCAGTCCCTTCCTCCGCAGGCTGTGACTGCACCCCATGAACAGGAATTGGGGGTGCAGCGCTGCTGCCATGGCCCCGCTGTCTCCTCCACCCCTTCATCACGCAGCTATCACCGGGGGAGAAGCCGGGGCCATCATCCACTGCTGGGAGCCCTGTGGGAGCCAAGTGGAATCCGTTCAGATACGCTCCCACTGGAACATCATGCTCCCATTCTCCCTGGTCCATTGGGAACAAGCCTGGTGCTGATCAGTTTTCAGGCCCCTAAGCTGCCCCAAGGCAATTAGGGGCCAACAAGCCCCCTATGGCTTCCGAAAACTGATTAGGACATCACAACCCCTCCATTACAATGAATCCCCTTAACTGAGTCCAGAAGCAGTTAATCGATGCCACCCCCTGGCAGGGCCAGCTCGTGGGTGTGGGGATGGGTGCACATACGGGTGCCCCATTCCCGGCTGTAGTCAGCAGCCAGCTCCCACAGTGCCATGCCAAGTGTCTGCCAGCTCTGTTTGCGTGCCAGCTCCTCCCTGGAAGAGCTCCAAGTGCTGAAATGGGGACAGTTTTGCAAGATGTGCTTGGCTGGTCCCAGCGCAGTCACTTGATGACACGTGAGCCTGCCCGGAAGGAGCACCCAAAACAACTGCGGGGCTGCCCTGCCCTGGGAGGGGGCTGCCTGCAGCCAAAACAGGCTCTGTGCACCCAGGCACTTGTGTACCTTGCACCCATGAACCCCTGCACCCGTGCATCGCTGCACACCTGCACCTATGTACTTATGGACCCTGCACTCGTGTACCTGTGCATCCGTGTACCCATGCATCCTGCACCCATGAACCCCTACACCCGTGCACCCATGATCCCTATGTACTCATGCAGCTGTGCACCCATCTCCCCTTGCTTCCTTGTACCCATGCACCCATGTACCCATGCACTCATGCACCCCAGCACCCGTTCCCTCCTGCCTGCTGTAGGTGCAGCAGCAGCCACCACCCCTCATCACCCTCTCCCCCCCTCGGCATGACCCAGAGGCAACAGCAGAACACCCGTGGCTCCTCATGCAGGGTATTTACAGGTCTCCTGTGGGCCGGCGCTGGCATTTGGCACGACCCCTTGTTTACTGCTGCAGCAGCCATGTGCACCGGGTGCTGGTCCTGAGGGGCTGTGTATGCACTCAAGCAGAGGGGCCGGCTGCGGTATGGCAGCGCATGGGGGCATCCTGTAGCTCCCTCTGCATAATACAGAAGAATATAGAAGGATACAGGGAATACAGAAGAGCCCCCCCAATCCCTGCCTGGGGTAGGAAGGGGGGAACCTGGTGCATGTGCCAGGCATGGGGTCTGCATCTCCCCGGTGCTGCCTTTCTCCTCCAAGCACAGCCTCAGCACCGTGATGAGGCTGCTTTTGCACCCAAGGAGTGGTCGCATTTTGGGGATGCTCTGTATAAGTCATCCCTTGCTGCCGCTGGCCCAGCTCTGTGCCATTCCTGGCACCCTCACAACGTCTTAATGACCACAGGGCTGTTGCTCACCCCTTCTTGCCTCCACCCCCACTCCCAAGATCCGGCCCTACTGCCCCCGGGGATGTGCAGCCAAGCCTGGCCCCATTTACCCTGCGCTCTGGGGTGGGTTTGCCAGCAGCCGCAGGCAGGCAGGGCCTCCCGTACAGCCTGTCCCCTGCTTGTTTACCGCCCGGTGGCATCCCGATGGCTCAGTCCCATGTGACAGGTGCTGATGCTTCCCTGGACACCCGACCCGGCGCTGGCGTGACCGGGAAGTCACTTATAAATATCGGGACGAGGGGCGCTACCGACAGCCGAGCGCGGGCGAGAGCAGCCACCACTGTGCCGATGGATTTCCAAGCCGGCATCCTGCGGGATGGCAGCCCCATGGAGAGCCTGGAGAAGCAGCTCATCTGCCCCATCTGCCTGGAGATGTTCAGCAAACCCGTGGTGATCCTGCCCTGCCAGCACAACCTCTGCCGCAAGTGTGCCAACGACGTCTTCCAGGTGAGAGGAGGGTGCCTGAGCCCTTTCCCCCCACCCCAGCCTGGGTGGGTGCCGTGGTGCTGTGGGGATGCTCGCGGTGCTGTGGGGATGCTCATGGACGCCCCAATGTGCATCTCGCAGGCTGCCAACCCGTACTGGCAGAGCCGGGGCAGTGTGATTTCGGGGGGCCGGTTCCGGTGCCCGTCGTGCCGCCATGAGGTGCTGCTGGACCGTCACGGTGTCTATGGGCTGCAGAGGAACCTGCTGGTGGAGAACATCATCGACATCTACAAGCAGGAGTGCTCCAGGTAGGCACGGGGTGGCTGTGGCTGTCTGCCTGTGCCTTGCCCCAGTGGGGACACAGGGAGATGGGGACTCAGGGACGTGGGGGATGCCCAGTTCCCGACCCCCAGCACCATGGTTGGGACTACAGGAGAGAAACTGTAGGGGAGAGATTTTCTGCTGGCCCAGTGGTCCCTGACCCAAATCTTCCTCCTCTTGACCCAAATCCTCCTCCCCCAACCCAAATCCTCCTCCCCCTGTCCTGTGGGGTTTGGGTCTCTGGGCAGCTCTAGGGAGCAGTGGGTCCCTGGCAGGCTCTGCCCCTGCTGCGCTCTGTGGCTGAGGTGTTTGGTGGGAGGGAGGAGGTGTGGGGGACAAATCCAAGCTCTGTGCATGACAGCGGGTGCTGCTGGCTGATAAGGGGCAGGGGGACAGTTTGGGGGGGGCCCATTCAGTAAAAGGGCTCGGGGGGGGGGGGAAGGGGGGTCACAGGATCTCAAGGTGGAGCAGGGGCCCCTGCCAAGCTCCCTGAACCGCTGTAAATATTGTTTGAGAGCCATGGGGACGATGGCACAGAGCAGGTGTCTGCGCCTGCTGGGGGGGTCGCTGGGCTGGCCTCTGGTTTCTTCTGCGGCTTAGCTTGTCCCCATGTCCCCCCTTGCTGCAGAGGGGACACTTTAGCTGCAGGCATTGGCTGCACACACACACACGGGTTTCTTGGTGCCCCCACCCCACTCACATGTTGAGTGACAACAATCAACCCCTGCAGCCCAAGGCTAAAATTAGACACTTGTGCAGCACGCCCGGAGCGGGGCCCCAGGACCCCCCCCCGCTCACTGCTGCCGGCTGCTGCTGTGCCCAGTGCCACACTGGTTTAAACTGGGACTCACCGGGCCTGGGGCTTAGGGAAGCACGGAGGTCGGTGGCTCCTGATGGAGCAAGTGTGGGGTTATGCCAGGATCTGTCCTCTTCCCTGGGGACCTGGCTTTGGGGTGGCCGTGCAGCATCAGTGGGGATGTCACCACAGTGGGGACGACGGAGAGATGGGGCGGGACGTCATCGCGCAGGGATGTGACTACAGTGGGGATGTCACCCCAGTGGGGATATCACCATGGCGGGGGTGTCACCGTGGCTGCGCTGCTCTCTCCAGCAGGCCACTGAAGAAGGGGGAGCACCCCATGTGCAAGGAGCATGAAGACGAGCGCATAAACATCTATTGCATCACTTGTGAGGTCCCCACGTGCTCCATGTGCAAAGTCTTCGGTGCCCACAAAGACTGCGAAGTTGCCCCGCTGCAAACCGTCTTCCAGGGCCAGAAGGTGCCGTGGGGGGAGTCGAGGGGGGATGCAGGGAACACAGCTTGTCCCATGGCAATGTGCTGAGCTGGGGCAGCCACAAATAGCACTGGGACCTGCTCACGCGGTATTAATAGCCCCCGTGTGACTTTGCCCAGGAGACAGCCTATATTTAGAGTGGTCGTGGCCTGTGGGAGATGTGGGGGGAGCAGAGCTGGGGCTGGGCATGTCCCCATCCCCACTGGGGTTCAAGCTGTTTCTGTCCATCCATCCCTGCCCAGACCGAGCTGAACAACTGCATCTCCATGCTGGTGGCGGGGAACGACCGGATCCAGACAATCATCTCCCAGCTGGAGGACTCGTGCCAGAGCACCGAGGTGAGGAAAGGGAGAAAAGGAGCCCTCCGAAACGCAGGGGTGAAACCTCAGCCCATTTGGGTTGGCTGGGAGGGGACTGGAGCCCACGGACTAGGCAAGCCTCTGGGATGCTGCCGGTGCCGAGGGACACAGGTGGCATCCCTCACCCCTTGTCCCCGCAGGAGAACAGCGAGGCGGCCAAGCGGGAGCTGTGCACTCGCTTCGACACCCTGGCAGCGCTGCTGGAGGAGAAGAAGTCGGAGCTGCTGCAGCGCATCACCCGTGAGCAGCGCCACAAGACGGGCTTCGTCCAGGGCCTCATCCTCCAGTACAAGGAGCAGCTGGAGAAGTCAAGTCGGCTGGTGGAGACGGCTGTGCAGGCCATGGAGGAGACAGGGGGAGCTGCCTTCCTCATGGTGAGACCCCCAAACCTCCCTGCTGGTGCCCCCATGGGGTCCCAATGGCTCGGGGATGTCCCAGTGGCTGCCACGTGGCTTCACTCTGCTCTCCTCTTGCTCCCCACAGAACGCCAAGCAGCTCATTAAAACGTAAGTGCCCAAACTGGGCTCAGTTTGGTGATGCTCAGCCCTGCAGCTGGGCAGGGTTCGGCTGCAGGGGGGGGGCTTTGCCAGTGGTACCCGGGTGGCAAGTGTGAGGATGCTCCAGCCCCTGTGGTCGCCCTGCTTGGCAAGGGGCAGGGTGGGACATGGCCCTGTTCTCCCTGCCCAGGATCGTGGAGGCCTCCAAGGGTGACAGGCTGGGCAAGATTGAGCAGGGCTATGAGAACATGGATGCCTTCTCGGTGAGCCTGGAGCACCTCGCCGAAGCAGTCCGCACCTTGGACTTCGACTCTGGTAAATCAGTCCTCAACCCCAATGCCCCTTTACCAGCACCCTGATGGCACCCATTGCCTTTCCCAGGGGCTCTATGGTGACATTTGGCCACTTGTTTGCAGCTGAGGAAGACGAGGAGTACTTTGATGGGGAGGAAGAAGAGGTGGAAGAGGATGCGGCACCCGAAAGAACAGTGATGGGTAAGAGGTGGCACAGCTGACCTCCCCTTCCCAGGACCCTCAAGAACCTATGGGGGAGCTCTGGGGGGATGGGACCCCCTTTGATCCCTCCATTCCTTCCCCTTATAGCTCCCCAGTAGCCGCAGTGGCGTTGGCAGCACGGGAGGAACGTCGCGGGTGCAGGATGTCCGCCGACGGGACTCGGGACACAGGGGAAGCACCATGGGGTCTGGTGGCCTCACAAGCCAGCACCTGCTTCAGCACAGGACACTTTTCTATACGGGTGCAAACAGGACAATTCCGCACGTTTTGTATCTTCCTTGTTTTGTATATAATTGTCATAGATTTAAATTTTGTGTACTTTGTAAAGAAAACTGGTGTTTTGGGTGCGTCTGTTTGCTTCGCCTCTTGTTCTTGGCTTGATGAGCACTGAGGATGCAGGTGGGTTTGACAAGCCCGTGCCATTGCTGGTGCCCCTGCCAGCACCCGGCACAGCAGGGGGATGCTTCCTGGTCCAGCACTTCATTTTCATACTCATTAGCTCCTCCGTCAGTGCTGGCTGCCTGCCCAGGGGTGTCACAGGCAGGATTTATCTCCTACTGATGGGGTGCCCCGGACCAGTGCTTGCCCAGGCTTGCGGACATGGCAGAGGACTGAGGATGCCCTGGGCTGTGCCAGTCCCCCAGCAACATGGGGATAGCCTTGGCACTGAGCTGCCGGTTTCCTGCTCGGCACCTGGCCAAGCAGAGACTGAGGCAGCATCCAAAGCTGTGCAGTCAGCCCCAGGGGAAATGGTGCTCCTCACCAGGGCAGGGTCACTGCGGGGGGGGGGGGTGACATGGCTGGACATGAGCCGGCGGAGCAGGGAGGGGGTCACCGGGTGCCTTTGGAGGGGGGGCCCCGGGGGACGCTCCATCCTCCCCTTGCCTCGGGGCTGCGCCCATGCCCCGGTGCCTGGCTCCTGAGGGGTGCCCGCAGCGGGTCCAGCGCTCCGGGTGCGGGGCGAGCGCTGCAGCCGCCTTGCGGCCGGCCCGGCCGTGCCCTCCCTGCTCCGGCCTCCTCTGCACACGGGACCCCGCCGCTCCACACGAGCCACACTCGCGGTCACCCGCACCGCAGGACCATGGCAGCGCCCGAGGAGGAGCGGCACCTGCTGAGCCCCGGGGCAGGCGGGTAAGGGGCGGCCGGGACCCGGTGCGGGGCTGCAGACGGGGTCCCTGCGGGCTCCGGCGGGGAGCGGGGCCGGGGTCCCCCGCACCGCCCGCGCCCTGAGCCCCCCTCCCGCAGCAGGTCCTACCTGGGGGCCGCGCATGAGGACGGGCTCGGCTCGGTGCAGGGCCAGGGCCCCGCGCTGGAGCTGGGGCAGCGGCACAGCCTGCACTGCCACAGGCGGGGGGCCGCCGGTCCCCGCGGCCAGCAGCAGCAGGCACGCAGGAGGCTCTACCTGGCCGCTGGCATCTGCCTCCTCTTCATGGCTGGGGAGGCTGTGGGTGAGTGGTGGCCGCAGGGTCTGCTCGCGGGGGGGGTCACCAAGGGGCTCACCCTCTGCCTGCCTGCAGCACCTCTTGCTCCCATTCCCCGCAGGCAGGGCCCCCGTTTGCTTTTCAGGGGGTGAAGCATCCCAGTGGGCCCCCTCCACTGGAGCCTGCGGTGACCTGATCTGTGCCCAGCTCAGGGTGGGGTGGGATCCCCCCCACTTCCAACCCAGTGTCCCCACGGCCCCTTCTCCACAGGCGGGTACCTGGCGCACAGCCTGGCCATCCTGACGGACGCAGCGCACCTCCTGACGGACTTTGCCAGCATCATGATCAGCCTCTTCGCGCTCTGGGTGTCCTCACGCCCCCCCACCAAAACCATGAACTTTGGCTGGCACCGGGCAGGTAACGGGGCAGCAGCACCCCTGGGCTGCCGTCCAGCTCCCGCAGACCCCAGGGAGCACCCCTGGGTGCCCATCCTAAGGGGAGCCCTGGGGGCATAGGAAGCCCTGGCAAAGCCCCTGCACCACGCATATGGGCAGGGAGCAACCCCAGGGATGGGTGCTGGGTGCTCACCCCAAGCCCTGGTACTGCCTGGGCCAGGAACGTGCTCAGGCTTGGGTGGCAGCGAAGCAGCAATGAGGGGGGCTCTCTGCAGAGATCCTGGGGGCCCTGGTCTCCGTGCTCTCCACCTGGGTGGTGACGGGTGTCCTGGTCTACCTGGCGGCCCAGCGCCTGCTCTCGAATGACTACGACATCGAGGGTGGTGTGATGCTCATCACCTCCGCCTGCGCCGTGGCCGTCAATATCGTGTATGTATGGCCAGCTCTCGCCCCCCGGTCCCCAACCCTGTGCCCAGTGCCCCCAGGGGTGTCACTGCTGTCCTGCCCGCAGGATGGGGGTGGCTCTGCACCAGACTGGGCACCATCACAGCCATGGGGCAGCCGGTGAGCAGCCCAACACCAGTGTCCGCGCTGCCTTTGTCCATGTCTTGGGGGACCTGCTGCAGAGCGTTGGCGTCCTCATAGCATCCTACATCATCTTTTTTAAGGTCTGGGTGGCTACTGGGGGCAAAGGGGGTGCTGGGGACACAGGGAGAGCATCCTCAGCCAGGCCTGAGGTGCCAGTGGGGATTTGGGATGAGGTGATGGTGCCAGAGGGGCCTCACCCTCTCCCACCCCTTCCAGCCCGAGTACAAGTACGTGGATCCTGCCTGCACCTTCCTCTTCTCTGCACTGGTGCTTGGGACAACGCTGTCCATCCTCCGTGATGTCCTCCTTGTCCTCATGGAAGGTAGGGACCCAGTGCGGGGGTCTGGGCTGCAGGGCTGCCCCTGGGTGCCATGGCTCCTCTCCCTCCAGCGCTCAGGGCTCTTCCTCCCCAGGCACCCCCAAAGGGATCGACTTCAACGCCGTGCGGGAGGCTCTGCTGGCGGTGCAGGGGGTGGAGGCCGTGCACAGCCTCCACATCTGGGCGCTGACAGCAGCACAGCCGCTGCTCTCGGTGCACGTCGCCATCAGTGAGTATCGTGCCCTGGGGATGGAGCCGGGGCTCACCCGCACGCCAACATCCCCTCCCCTGCTCCTCGCAGATGCCGGTGCCAGCGCGCAGGAAGTGCTGGAGGAGGCCAGTTCCCGGCTGCAGGGCACCTTCCACTTCCACACCACCACCATCCAGGTGGAGAACTACTCTGAGGAGATGCAGGACTGCCGGGAGTGCCAGCCGCCCCGCGACTGAGCCTCCCGCAGCCCCCTTGTGTCCCGAGCGGGGCTTCTGACGGCGGCAAATAAACTGCAGCACAGGGCTGGGTGTGCAGGTGGGGGGATGTTGGGTCTGGCACCATCGGGGCGTTATCTCGGGTGTCTGCTAGGAGCAAAGGCAAGAGGGAAGCCCCACAGCCGCAGGGAGGCCAGCAGGTTTTGTCTTCCCCGTTCCTGTTCAGCAGGGCAAAGGCAGCTCAAACAACCCTTTCTCCCTTCTTTGGGCAGCGCTGTAAGGCAATGGGGTGCCTGGAGCTGTGGGGGGAACCATCCCAGCCTGGGGGAGGGAGAACGCATGTGCTCTGCTCTCACCTCTTATCGCTCTGTTTGCCCTCAGGAATCCAAAGGACTCGCCCTTCCCAGGGGCTGAGGGCTGGGAGGCCACAGGATATTCCCAGGGTGCCCGGATGGGTGCCAACAGTAGAAGCATGGGTGCATCGACACATCAGTGCTCCCAGTGGGTACAGCCCACTCCCCAAATCCCACAGCCACCGCCAAGCCTCCACCTCTCCACCCACCTTTATTGCATTGGTAAAACCCAATAACGGTTAAAACCCCGTCAGCAGTAACCAACTGCTCTGGGAGGGCTCCATGTGCCAGGAATGGGCCACCCGGAGCCAACCCAAATCCCCAGCAGCCCTCAGGGTTTATCCAAGTGTGGGTATCTCTTGCGCAGGATGGAGACCTGGTCCTTGAAGAGGACGGGGTCGAGGCGCAGCTGGGAGGACACGAGGGGCATGTAGCCAAACCAGTCCACCAACTGGTCCAGGCAGTCCTGCTGATGGGAGAGATGCTGGCCACCAGCTGTGCCCTGCCCCTTGGCAGCAGGAGACCATGGGGGTGAGGGCCTCTGCTCCCCTGCCAGGGGCGTCCCTGCATCCCCATCCTCATGCCCTACCTGCTGGGGCACTGCCTCCTTGTGCTGCTTCCTCTGGGCCACCTTAATGGGCGGCAGCTTGGTGACAGCGGCCACGAGGATGTTCATCAGGATGTCCTCGCAGGCGGCCAGGCCGTCCACCAGCTCCCGCAGCCCCGCCGGCAGGTACTCGGTGAAGAGGCTGTGATAATACCTGGGAAGGGAGAGGGAGGGGGCAGGATGCAGCCAAGCCCTCCAGCACCAGCACCCTTCCACAGCTGGGTACCTGTGATAGAAGGCAGCGGTGGTGAGGACGATGGAGAGCTCGTTGGTCCACTTGGAGGTGTAGCCCCAGCGCCTTTGCTCATCATCCCAGAAGTGGCTCTGTGCAGGGAAGCCCACGATGCGCTCAGGGAAGCTGCGCCACACCACGAAGGCAAAGTCTACCTGGCACGGGACGGGGGGAGGCTCTCACTTCCCTGCAGGGACCTGTGGGAGGGAGCTCACCCCTAGAGGTGTGCCCTGGGCAGGGGGACATGGACACAGCAGACACAGCCCCCTGCCAGCCTCGTGGTGACTGCTGAGCATCCACAGCCTCACCTCACTGGTTGAGAGGCTGGTGTGCTCGTCCAGGCTCAGCACAGCGTCCGTCTGGATGGCTGCATAGGGGAAGAAGCGGTCACTGACCTAGGGAGAGGAGGCAGGTTGGGATGTGCCGCGGGGTGGCTGCTCCAGCTCCTTGACCATGTCCCGGCTCCCTGCCATCATCCCAGCTCTTCTCACCTTGCTCCTGCCCTGGATGACAGTCAGAGGCACAGCGGTCTGGGGCCATTTCCCACTCGGCGGTGACGGCTTTTCACTGCTCCACAGCACCAGGATCTGCAGGGGGAGGACCAGCGTGCCCGGGGTGTCTGGCTGGGCTGACCCATCACGGTGCATTGGTGGCCGCGGTTGAGACCCCCCCAGCCCTGCAGCAGGACCTGCTCCAGCCCCTCCGCACCCCAAAACCATCTCATGGCACCTCGGACCGGAATAAACCCCGGGTGGTCCCGCATCCACCCCAGACCCCCCTCACACCCCCAACACACCCGCACCCTTCCCAGCCCACAGGACCCTGCCCCATCCCTCCTGCCGCATCCTCGGGAGCGGTGCAGGGCTCAGCTCCCGTACCTGGGCGCAGTACTGGGATCCAGACACGGCTTGGATGAGCCTGAGCATGGGCTGGGAGAGGGACCCCGCCATCGAGGTGGCTCGGATGAAAGCCGTGAACTTCTTGGAGGGGCTGGACCCTGTAAAAGGCAGGCAGAGGGTGAGCGCTGCGCCGTGCACTGGGTCTGCCGCGCTCGGCTGGGGCAGGCAGGCTCCTACCGCGCTGCAGGTGGTAGAAGGGGAAGTCCCCGAGGTGTGTGGAGAAGTCGGGCAGGGCCAGGAGCCCCCCGGGCAGCGTGTTCCAGAGGAAGCGCGAACGGGAGCGGTGCTGAAGCAGCCGGTCCTTGATGATCTGACAGAGGCCGGAGAGATGCTCCCAGCACCCCGACTGTGACCCCGGGGGCTAGGGGGGGGGGAGAAGTTCGAAGGCGGGGGCTCACCTCCAGTGTGGTGTGCACAATCTTGTCCACAGAGGAGAAGTATGCATCCCACAGGAACTGGGTCTGCTGCTGGAAAGCCAGCACACGCTCCGGATGGATGCAGCGCACGGCAGAGGGGATCTGTGCCACCGGGGAAGGGGGGGGGCTTGTTTCTCACCTCAGTGTCCCCCAGCCCCCTGGCAGGGCTGCCTTGCCTCTGCCACCTCCGTGCCATCCCCAAGGGACCCCCCTCAGCCACTGCCCTACTGCAGCTCTGCCCCCTCCTCTCCCTGGAACAGGATCTAGCCCAGGACCCCCAAGGGCTTTGGGTCTGAGATGTTCAAAACTCCCTTCCCTGAGCTGAGTGATGCTCCAGGGCTGCTGTTGGGGTGGGACCCCCTCTCCTCCAGCCCATAGGAGGGCTGAGGAGGTTTCACCCCCAAGATTGGCTGGGGGCTCCACCACTGCCATCAACACCGGGGGACGCTTTGTGTCCGGTGTGGAGCAGGATCTGGCCGCGGTACCTGCAGGAGCAGTCTCTCATTGCCCACGACAGCAGCTTTGCCCCAGTCGATGGCCTCGGCGAAGGGCAGCTCCCAGCCATCACTCAACAGCACGGGGATGCAGGCAGCCTGTGGCAGAACCCACACAGGCTGGGACAGAGCCCCCGGACCCAGGGAGGGGCGTCCCCTGTCCCCGTGGTACCTGCAGTGCCTCCAAGAAGCGGAATGAGCCCAAGCGCCTGCCCCGGGGCACAATGCAGAAGGTGGAGTTGTGCAGCAGCTCCTGGTAGTCAAACCTGGGATGGGAGATGGGGTGAGAGTCAGGCTCAGCCTCACCTGTGAGCATCTGGGGTCTCGCTTGCACCCAGCAAGGGTGAGCATCCCTGCCGGGGGGGAAGGAGCCAGCCCAGGGCAGCGCTAGGACCAATCTGTGCTGATTTGGCTCCGAACAGCCTCAGTTCCACCAGGCCAGCGACGCAGAGGCACACTGGGTCATGGAGGGATGTGTCTGCGCACTGCTGAAAAAGGAGGGGTCAGGATCGGACCCTGGTGTCCTTTGAGGGCTCCCTCCACCCACCCACAACGAAACCACGCGCAGAGCCGGCGCCTGAACCCCCAAGCCCGAAACTGCGGCCGCTCCTGCGCCGTGCCCGGACTTGCCGGGCAGGACCAGCCCTGCCTCCCGAGGCGCTGCGGCGGGGCGCAGGCAGCGCGGCCCCCCCCCGGCCCCGGCCCCGGCCGCGCTCGCACCGTGGGGCTATGAAAGCTCCTTCTGTGCGGCCGGTGGGGAGCGGCGCGGCTGCGGCCGGCCGGAAAATCCAATATTAGGCTGGGACAGACCCCATCTGTTCTGCCCAAGGGGAGGGAGCGACGGAGGGAGGGAGGGATGGGGCAGCTGGGTCCTGGGGTGCGCACGGTCCAGCCAGCGGTGAGCATGAGGCCAAAGTGCTGCTTGAAATGTGCTGGTCCCCAAGGGCAAGGGTGTCCCCGTGGTGCGGATGTGAGGCTGGGTCTAGCCTGGGGGTTGAGGATGTGTGGCCTCCATGGGTGCTGGAGCACCCTGCAGCATCCTGGCACCCTGAGAGGTGGGAAGTTGTCCCCAGTGCCAAGGCACAGGGGTTTACAATCAAGACCTGGCACCAGACGAACAAACCCCCATGTCTCCAATGGATGTTGAAAACCTCATTAGTGCACCCTGCCTCTTAACACCTCAGCTCCTGCCTCGGTGACCTGCCACGAGGGTGAGGGCAGCTCAAAGAGGACCCAGACATCTCCCCCATCACCATGAAACCACAGCAGCGACATCCCCTGCCGGTGCTCACCCTTGGGGCCGCCCTGCTGCCACCTGCTCATGGGGACCCCAACCCCTGTGGTCACTGCCAGCACCTCCATGGGACTGCTCCCAGCTCCTGGGCTGGGGGGTTGGCAGCAGGAGGAGGCCGGAGGTGGGGGGGCAGCCCGGCCGCGGTCACCCTCCCCTCGCAGGCAGGCACCGTGGGGAGGCTGGCGCCGGCCGGGCTGCGGGGCCAGAACCTCCCGATGGAAACACTTCGCTCCTGACGCGCTGCGGTTTCCGGGTAATCCGCACTCAGGGCTTCCTTGTTTTGTTAGGAGCTGGGACAGGCGCCCGCTGCGTTCCCACTCCCCCATGGCCCCTGCGTGGCTCTGGCCGGGCACGGTGCCACCGAGGAGCCATCAGCTCCGGAGAGCTTTTCCCAACCTGCTCCAATGGCTTTCAAGCTGGGGCAGCCCGCAGCAGGGCCGGGCTGCAGCGCTGCTACAAGCCACCCTTTATCCCGGCACAGAACTGGTTTGTTTTAGGCAGCCCCCCAAGGCACAAGGAGGGTGAGGACTCCCAGCAAGACCTTCCTCCACTCCCCACACTGCCCTCCACCGCACCGGCTCCTACTGCCCCAGGCAAACAAGGACATCCCCATGGGGTAGCTGGGGTCTCACTTTGCCTGTCCCCATCATCAGCCTGCCTGGCTTTGGGGACATCTTGTCCCGGTTCAGGAGGGCATAAACCCCTGTGTGAGGTCGGGCAGAGCAGACCCTGCACAATGAAGATGCTGAGGGCTTTTTGCCCGGGTGTCCCATGGACACAAGCGGGATGGTGGAGACGGG